GATAGTTATCATTAGCCCTTTAGCTGACTTCAGGCTTCATGGAGGGGTGGAACAGACAGAGTGAAAAAACACAGTCGAGAGGAGGGACAGAAGAGTGATTCAAAGATGGAAGTAGACAGACAGACACAAAGGCAGAGAAAAGGTAAGATGAGTACTGTTGAAGTGGTCGAATATAGCATAAAATGGGGTCATGATAGTTTGAAGTCAGAAGTCAACTGCCAGTTAATAGACTTTTTTGCCGTATGAATATGCGTTGCCCAGGGTGCATTACGTGGAGGTAAGTCTATCGCACACCCCGATTTAAATACCATTTTTATGTTGTTTTTCGAATGCGCGGTTTCTTATTGGTACTCCTAATATTATCTAGTAGATTATACTCTTCATTCACTGGGTATCAGACAGTTATGTGCTACAAGAAAGATTGCCATACTAATGGCTCTTTTAGAAGTTCCAATATGATTTTTCTTATGCTAACTAGTACTAGCTAATCGGGATGACTATCCCCATCATTTCATCTCTTCACTCTCATTCTAATCGGTGGAGTTGCTCTGTTCATGACCTTATTTTGTTTCCTAGGTGATCGTTACGAATCAAATAACAACAAGAATTGTGAGTAGTGGAACATCTACGGCAGCGCAAGGTTGTCTTGTCCCAGCACTGGGTGACAGTTGGGGTCATATCTGCTCAGTGCGAATTCTTCTCTCGAAGGGTGATGGCACAAATGGAGACCGTCGAAGAACTGCAAGGCTACTTAAACATCCTGGTCGACCACCTGGTACTGCAACTTATCAAGTCACGGTAAGTCTTTTATAACTTTTATTTATTTGTCCAACTCTTGAAGTGGCAAATAATGCAACAGTTAAAGTAATGTGCGCCAAGTACCACTTTCCCCCTGTTTTAGACCGGCGGAATTCGAGATTGCCCTTAGTGCCTCACTGCCCCAGGCTTTGTACAGAATTGATACTATTAATAAAATTATTATTATTATTATTACCGATAGTCGAACTCCCCATGGGCCTATTTTAAATGCTATAGCTTATTTGTTCTTAAGGATTTAGGTTTATTAGTGTATTTGAAGCATACAATGAAGCTTTATTGAGACTATGTCCGATGAAACTGAATGGCCTAATCCTTTAATGGCCTAATTATTCTCCCTCCGGTTACGAGTCTAGTGCCAATGAGTTTGTTTTGAAAGTGGACCATACGGTTCTGCAGAGCGTTAAAAAGGTTAAACGTTAACTATCATTTGTTCCAATTTTTCACCAAATAAATGTCGAGTACTCAACTTGGAAAGACTCTCAGCTGATTTCAAATTTATTTGACACGACCTGTGGGGGGGGGGGGAATCTAATGCCAGTATCTAAATCTTGGCGACACAGGTTCAATATCGCTGCTAGTGGCAGCCTTCTTGAAGAACACGATAGGAGCCAAATGGCATGCACCATCATCGTAGATCCGGAATCATAACCTTTACTGCTTCTCAAAAGGAATCAGGAAATGTAAAAGATTACCATTCAAAATTCAGCAAAATTTTTACTCGTGCTTCTTTAATATAAGTAGAATGAATGCACCAAAAAACAAGTTTGCAGCCGTTAATCCTATTTCTCAGAAGAGATCTTTAAGGTAGAAAAGAAGGAAAGGAAAGGCTGCACATATTCACACGTTGATGCCACAAAGAGAGGGAACGAGCGAGAGAGGGAGAGAGCAGAAAACATAATAAGGAGTGCATTTGGAGCAAGGGAAGAAGTAAAAGCATTTCTAGTATCTATAAAGTCACCTATGTATATGGAGCTATCTGTTTAAATAAGAGGGAGGGGAGGGGGGGGGGGGCATCAGAAAGACGTTGAAATAAGTTGTTTTAAGATCAAAAATAGTAGTATAGTCTGGAATATACACACTTTTTAGCCTGGAATGATTGTGCCTATCTTGTTTGTGGTCGGAAAAATGCGTGGTTGATTGAAAGAGGTTGGTTGATAACCTCTTCTATTCTAGGACTCGAGTGAGTGAACTCTCTATCGCTTTGGTTGAAGTGTTGAATAGCCATTAGTGTCCGGTTTGGATTTTCTATTTCGTTTTGGGTTCTTGAGAGTTGTGTAAGCCTCTGGTAAGTCTATAAGATCATGCTTGTACGTGGAAGTTTGGAGAGTGGGGGCAGAGATATCTGGTTTGGTTGGCTCGTTGATAGGCATTCGCTGGAGGCCGTGTCTCGAAGTGGTGCTGTCTGGAGCAATACGTCGAGACCTCGCAGAGCGCTGCTGCTGAATTCGAGCCGCCGCTTCAAGGGATTGTGTTTCACCTTTGAATGTGGTATTTTCTAGATGTGGGGAGGAGATCTCCACTCGAACCCCTGTCCCAATTCCTGAGGAGGAAGATCCTAAAGATGAGCTTTTAGAAACACCAGTTTCTCGTTCTGCTGCCTCCCAAGCTGCCTCAAGGTCTCTGAATTAGAAAAAGGCCGTTGAAAATGTTGTCGTAGTACTTTTAACAGAATTCATATTTATCACTGATAATTAATCTAGATTATCTATCTCCTATTGGCGTTTCTAACACCTGAACTTAAAAGCACTTGAACGAGTTTTGGCAGTGTTCTGACTGGCTAAGAACCTTCTCCAAGGGGTCTACAATGAGCAAACAGTAATTCAAAGGTCTGCTCGCCCTCTTGATGTAGGGTACACAAATCTACTCATAATCTCTACGCATCCCAAATCTCGATTGATCGTTCTTACCGATTGTTCATCAATCAACGAAGAACGCGAAATCAGCTAGAGTCAATCCTAGTCAATCCTAAGTCTCAAAGTCAAAACTGAAAATGAAAATAAACAATTACCTTAGATAATTCGGCTTCTTGTTATCCTTATTGAATTCATTAACAAGTTCTCGTCGGTAGGCGGTGGGTGAATGTCCATGCCGGTCATCTGCCGCTGGCATTAGATAGGCAATCGGAGAAGTAGCATTACCATTCATCTTCACAGAATGCCCATTTTGCATAGGCACTTTACCATTCGTCGTGAATATTTGGCCATTCTTGAGGGTATCCCTTGGATCCGGTGGTCCAAACGCCATGATAATTGGAGGATCATTGTCAAAGTATGGTCTGCATTTCCTTAGGCAATTGCTATACATGACAAAATAATTGTTACTAACGCCTTTAAAGTAGCGGAGATATAACGAGCGATAACCTACCATATAGCTCCAAAGAAAGCAGTCCAATCAAACGGTTCAACATAAGACAACGGCGGTGGTATTGGCTCAGATTTCGGAAATATGAGTCGCCTTTTACGGCACCGACAGAGTGTACAGTACATACACAGAAGAAAGGCTGGACATAGTATGAAGACAATAAAGCAGATTGCAAATATAAATCCGTATTCGTGCCATGCTGAAAGAGCAAAAATAGAAATCGCTTTTAGCCTATAAGTAAACTGGCTAACAATTTTTTTAAGAAGCCGAACGTTTGCCTATTTTTTGTTAAGTTGTGTTATTTAAGCAGACGTATAGTAACATACCCAATTTCCGCTTATCTGTACAAGCATTTTGAAATATACGATGAAAGGTCTTTCAATATGCAAAGTAAAGTCAATATGTTAGTTCTAGATGACAGGGTGTAATTTAGAGTTAGACGCTTGATTTAAGCAGTATCTCAACAATACACCCGTCTATTCAATTAAGCTTCTTATGTCAAGTAGACAATTTTCTAACCCTCAAGTAGCAGCGAAATGGAAATTAAAATAAAGAACAGACGGAACAACTTTTAACTGGGTTACCACTGTGATTCTGAAGCTTAAATGTGAATAACTTAACAAGTACCCACCTGGTAATTGAATTGAATTGAAAACAACCAGCTGTGAGCTTGATCTGCATATGCTATTCAACCTTTGACCACAGGTGGCTGGCTCCCCCCCCCCCCC